GCAAAAGTAAAAGGAACAAAACTTAATAGGTTTGTAGTTGGCTATATAATATAATGACGTTATTTTATTATAAATTACATAATGTTATATAACAATACTTTTTGCCGATAGGGCTAACAACCGCCAATAGCTGACTACGGCAGCTAGCCCAATCAAAAATATGTACTCGTGCTATTTAGGTAAATGTTGTGCTGTTTCACCAGATTTGACTGACATCTTTAAGTGGGGTTGTCCCAGAGAACCTGATGATTCTTGAAATCTGTGATATATCAATTTTTTTGTTTTCCTTCAAACTTTCACAGTTTGTTGTTGGTTGGTTATATATTTCACCTGAGAAACAAGAAGTCGAGTGCATTGTCAATAAAAAAGTTAGGGGACATTAAAATGTTGCCCAAAAGTGGGCGTGGCACTTCACCTGGAGAGCTCATTTTGCAGTTAATTTTTAGGTTTTCCATACATCATTACCTTTGATTTTACTCTATACTCTGAAGATGTTTGGTTAGATCAGCTTACTATTTGAAATAAGTATGATAACGAAATATCATTTCAACATTTAAATATTTACAATCATTTTATCTAGTAGTAATGGTTGCCATGGCAACATGATCAATTTAATAGACTTGCTAACCTGCCTAAAAGTAAGGTTTGTTTGAACTGTCCTGGGATCCCAAGTAGACCTCAAATTAACCCATGAACATTGAAAACTAAATAATGGAGATATGGTTATATGAAATATCAAATAAAATAGGTGGCATATCATGTCATTGAGTGCACTTGACACTTCTAAACATGGGTACCTCAGTGTAGTTTTTGAAGAAAATACAATGAATTGTAAGACACAAATAAAGCTAGTTGCTCTGGTGCAAGGAAGGTTTTATTGTAAAAATACATTGCAAGTGTTACTTTTGCATCTTATAATAGCTTTGAAGTCAAATAATTGTGGAACTCCCAACTATTTACTAATGCAAACTGGTGTCAAAGATGCTGGAATGACAGGTCTCTAGTTTGTTTACATGACGTGGATTGACCAATCAAAATGCAGCATTATGCGCAATCCAGCAGAAGTCCTTGGAATTTTTGAAACAATTTGATGATTCAAATTGTCTCTTTTTACAGGTAATTTAAACAATTTGCATGTTGTTATGTGATAAATTAAATGATTATTCCATATATCTAATACTTCAAGAGCAATAATAACGCTACATTTAAAGACTTTCCAAACAAAATGATGTTGTAATTGACATATGAGATTGAGATCATTTCTGTTTTTCATTTTTTTATTCACGTATGCCACATTCAGTTTTGTTTCACCATGGGCTTTCAACTATTCCATGAGAGGGTTGCTATGCTGTTGAGTTGCTATGGTTATCCATTTAGTAATAGACTTATGTGTGCTTTAACATTGTACAGTACAAGTAAATCATATCCACATTGATCAGTATAAGGGATTTGTATGAAAAACATTTTTTCTTGTTCAAGAAAAGTAAAAAATTAGGTAATGCTGTTTATAGTCAGCTGGTTGCTATGGCAACCAGGAGTGTAATAGCTGAGGAACTTTCGACATATTGTCAAGTTTTTGTGTCATTTTAATGAATAAGTTGGAAAGTTCATCAATAAGTTTGAAAATATAACACAGGAATAAAAGTTTGCATACTAATATCTTCCTAATATATTCATATCAGTAAATGGCATTCTACCATAATTTCTGATAAATTTGACTATTTTTCCTGATTTTTGTTCATCTGTGGCAAAAAAACACTCGAGAGTTCCACTTGTTTTTTTTGCTTCTTTTGAAGCCAACCACATACCCATTCTTACAAGCTATAAACTAAATGATGTATAGCTCTACTTGAGATTTTATGAATGAATGTGTTTATATCATTTTTTGTAAAAATTGACAAAAATCACCAATTTATGGGGGAGGGGTATGTATGTCATACTAACATGGAGAAAAAAATACAAGATATATGTCAAATTATTAATCTTTTTTGTTTACTTAATATTAAAGGTTTAACAAATAATAAAAATATATAAAATTTGCAGAGCCACATGAATTGAAATATAAACTGAGCATATGAAATAGGGTATATTTGTAATATGAGGGTGAAAAAATGCCCAAATCCCTGGAAATCTGGGTAAAATTATGAAGTTTACCACTATTTCTAAATGATGGCATAACTTAGCCAAAAAAAATTCTCAGAAAAAAATATTTTGGGAAATTGAATATCTTTCTACTATGTATCATTTAACATAAAATGAGACAAAACGAAAATTTTCATCCATCACCCATCATCAGGTTCTCTGGGACAACCCTACTTAAATAACAACAATTTGATTTGATGATCAGACAGCAACAAAACATATTAAGTGGCCAAGACAAAAGAATGTTATTATGATAGGCATTCTAGGGATTAAGGAATGCATTCAGCTTACATAATTTGAGAACTTATTGGCAAACGTAAAACCTATTTAAAGATGTTGATTTAAGAGCAAAAAAGGCTCCAAAACTTAATGAAATATGTAGTTTGGATGTTCATTTATGTCTGTGGATTATATTTTATACCACAAACACTTTATAAATACCTGAAATTTGCAATAAAAGTGCCCAAAAATTGTTGTTTCGAAATTCCCCATTTTTCCTGTATCGCGCTAGTCACGTGACCATTACGCGTAGCAGTCAATGTACAGATATTACAGTACATATAATATGTTCAATATGGCAAACATCAGCGATTCTGATTCCCGGGTTCTTGGAAATGACTATATAAATCGGCGAGAGGGTGTAATTTGAATGAAGACAATTTAAGGAGGGGAAATGTGTGCAAGTATGGCAGTTAGAGAGCAGATATGGGGACTTTAAACAAGAACTATGACGGAGAATCAACTAAAAATGTGAGTTCTGGAATGAAGACCCGTTGCCATTGACTGAAGATTCCAGCGATCCTATTATCATACTCAGTTTGAATCTAGACGCGGAAAACAGATTATGAAAACAGGTTTTCTGCAAAGTTATCAAATTTAGAAGATATGGATCTTGTTTTTGAGTGGCTTAACAAGCATTTAGATACCAGACTTGGCGCTATCTCTTGTCAAATACATGCACTGGACTTGCAGTAAATTGGCCATTGTAAATTGCAAAATCAGATCGTCAAATTAATCGCTTCGTTTTTAAACCTACGCTTCATATCTTCTTCCAAAACTTTAGGATTCGATAAAGATAAGTTATAACTTGTACAGGAAAAAATGGCAGATCCTACCTTAATTTAGAATCGCTGATTTCTCTGGACAAATTCCGAGAAGAAATTGTTCAACATCGCGATCACCCCAGACAACATGTCGCGTGCGTGTCACTCTGAACTCACGTGATAAAATACGGCATCTTGATTGGTTACTACTCGTGTTGTCATGACGTGAAAAGCAGTAGTAAACACTGAATATGTTAATGAACTGCCATATATGGAACAATTGTCTTTCTGATTGGTTAACTTTACACGCCTCCTAAATGAATATAGTAGTCGTAGTAAATGATTCATTGATAACTCTGAAAGTGGGCGTGACCAGCTTCATTTTGACACCAAATTCAAGATGTTTCAAATCAAAATGGCCTCGCAAGACGAGGTTGAAATATCAGCAATTTGATACTGATATGGTCTACGATAGATCAAAATTGACTGCCCCGCGTCACATGTCACGTGAGCCTATATTTGTTGAAAAATGAAAGAGATAGTGACACTTTTTAATCTTAAGTTTATACCAATATTACAAACACATATCTATTTTTTTCAATATATATTTATTTCTTCATAATACATACATTTGTTTTATACTACATTGATTTATTTTTGCAAAACCTTTGCTATTAGATCTTTAAAACAGCATTTATCGTATTCAAAAGCGTTGAGCATCATTGATTCCCAGCCCTCTGAAGATTGAAAAATAAAAATACCTGGGTGTTAATCCATGGATTATCTTTGAAAATGAGAAATATATTTTTGGATTACATGGTGTAATCTTAAAGTAAACAAAATGTTTTAAAGTGTATTGATGTTTTTTGGATGAAAAACATAAGCGAAATTCATGAAAAAAATCCCCCGATTCATTCTACAAACAACTCGCCCACCTTTGAGCAAACTGATGTTTTCATCGTTTCAGAAAGATCTGATCTAGTTTTCAGTTAGTTTTATATGTAAATATCTGTAACAAAATCCTAGACAGTGAACTTGACAGAGAATTTCATAATTTACCAACACAAACTCCCGATGTAGTATACGGTATATAGCAAGTAACGGTAAGTTAAAACACAAGGAATGTGAATTTACATTACTGTATCTAAGTTTGCCCTAATCTTGTAGATCATACAGAAATTGTTAAAATTATCATGCAATAACGCAAATGCGAGTAGGTAGTTACCAGTTTCACCACCAGGTGGCTCGCTCGGGTCATATAGCATGGCGGGTATAGTAGAAAGTTCCCTTTAACTTAAATTACATCTGTTTTAGTGGTTCAATATTCATATAGCCCTTATGTATCGAATAGTTATGCAAATTAAAGTATGTCCAGTAAAAGAAATGTTATATGTCCAATACAAGAAAAGATATTTCACTTTTTGTGATTTTGTAATATGGGGTCTATGGGGATCAACCCGAACTAGAAGTTGATAAACGATTTTCGAAACCATATTTTTAGATGTATTTTTAAATGTAGATTTCAAATATGACATCACTTTGACTGAATTTTGAATGTTTAATGACGTAAATTAAGATCATTTCTACTCGCATCTAGTCTATTATAGGTTATCGGAGGCAGCAGCTGAATATCACCCAACAGCAATTGCAAATAATAGAGGCGATCCTTGTCAACAACATATCTCAAGCATTAATGCAAATGATGAAAGTTTTATGGTCTTACAATGTAAATCAGTGTTTGATCAGGCTGGATAAAATGAGCAAATTGAAGGCATTTATAGAGTCAGAATGTAAATTGTTTTGATCATGGTATTAATTTTAACCAGAAGTTACTGAACACGATGAATCACAAGGTACATCTTCCGTTTATTCTCTTGATTCTCATTTTGGGAGTCAACTTTAGTTTATCAGGAAACTGCCAAAGAAAACCCAGATGCAGAAGCAGTTACGATTGTCCAAATACATATTGGTGCGATGAAAGCAAGCGCCGTCCCATATGCTGTCAGGAAAAGAACGTCGCTGGGCTTGCGAAACAATGCAAAGCAAAGCGTTTGAAAAATGGAGGTATAGAAGCGTGTGGATATGAAAGAGATGGAAGAAGAGTTTGCCAATCGGGATATAGATGTAAACTTATTAATGGATTCAATGATAAAAGTATTCTCCATAGCCTTTGTTGTAAAGACTTACGATGTAGGGACGGCCATGGTAACTACCATGAACCAAACGGAAGACCTTGGTCTGAACCTCTGTCGCCGTGCAACACATGCCGCTGTTCTAAATCTGGGAAGAGAATTTGTAGGCCAGAACGTTGCCGATGGTGCGATGTCAGACAAGATAATGGGACAATTATATCTGTGAAAGATGGTACGTCATTCTGGTTAGACAGTGGATGTAGACAGTGCACGTGTAGAGGTTCTGTTGTCAAGTGCAAGGGACCATGTCAGAGGGGTATAGTTGGTAAGATTTGATCATTCTTGAGTGAATAAGATTTGATACATATACGTATACATATTATAATTATTAGCTGATAATTAGAGGTTATGTCACTATCGTGGCATATATGCCCGAGGTCTCAGTGATATATGGCCCGACCTTGGGAGGGACATTGATCTCTGAGAACCGAGGGCATATGTGCCACGATAGTGACATAAACGATTTATAACATACCTATGATGATGTAGACTGGTCAGAGAGTACTGTTTTCTTACAGAATTGACAAACAAATTTGTTTGAAAATGATTGAAATGAGTTTAGAAAAATTGCTCGCGCAGTTTTATCTTCGATTGATTGGTTATGACGTCAGCGCCTTGACCAATCAGAAAGTTGGCGGGCGCGGGCTTTTCAAAACTTATATTGGCCCGCTGTCTTGTGTACACTTTGCACTATACATCATCATGTATGTTATAATCTATCATAAATTCACACATAGCTAGGCAAGGTGTGTCCGATTCCATCCAATTAGAACAGGGTATTCATAAAATGAACAGTGTGTGAAATATCAATAACACATGCAAGGTCACCAGTTAAACAGTTGTCATGGTGATGAATGGACTTCTCATATTGAATTTGATGACTTGCCAACTTGACCCTTGCAAAAATGTCATTGAAATGTGTTCTTTTAGTGATTCTGTTCCTTTTAGATGGCTTTGGAGAAAATAATTTGCAATGTGTGAAAAGATTTTTAAGCCCAAGACTCAATGCATTGTAGCTGCTTCATTCCACTCAGCCGTTGTTTCCTAAACGTTGCATTCCCGCTGCGTGGTCATGCAAAGATCTGGAAACAACACCTTCGTGGTATGATTCAGCAAACAATGCACCGAGTCCAGGGCTTAAATCCTTTAATATAAATGTTTCCGTTCTTAATGTTCTTGTTACCTGCTAATCATTTGAATCATTCAGTTAGCCTATTTTTTTTTATAGATGACTGAAAATAGTGCAATCAATACTATCTAGTACTTCTAACTAGTATTTTGAGAGTCAGGTTTTTAAAGTTCAGAATGTTCCAAATTGTTAAACATTAATGGTATTATTAATTTATTTTTCAGTTCGACAGCCTGGAACTCCACAATGCTCCTTTCAACAATGTAATAAAGCTGTAACAAATGGACAATGTGTTGCCGATGACAAATATGGCAATCCAAACGCCTGCTATGCCCATCCATACAAGACAACAGACTGTTATGATCCGATGAGATGCACTAAACCAGGTGTACCATTTTACGCTCTCTTATCTGGAGGTGGAGGCGAGGAAGCCAGACCATTTAGTCATCCATGGATGGTTCAGATCGCAACTGATTCCGGGAGCCATCGCTGTGGAGGGTCAATCATCAGTCCAAGGCATATTTTAACAGCAGGACATTGCTTCTGTCAGGAATCAAGGTTCACAACTACTCTATGTAGATGTACCAAATTGGCCACGGGGGGATTTGAAATATCGTCTTGTTCATTTCAGGTTAGAGCAGGAAAGCATAATATAAAAGAAGCGGAGATGGCCGAGCAAATTCGCTATATAAACAATCCATCTTCCGTACACCTTCATGAAAAGTTTCATTTCAAGGATTATCCTCTTGAAAGTGACAATGACATTTCCATCATTACACTGGACGATGCTTTGGTATTTATGCATAAGCCTAGAACTAGCACTGTGAATGCCATTAGATTACCTGATCATGAAACGGATGCAACAAATATCATAGAACAAGCTGACTGTGTTGGTATTGGATGGGGCATAACAGGTGGAACGTCATCTAATCCAATCTGGCCAGATGTGTTGATGGAATGGCAATTGCAAGTAAATACTAAATGCAGGATTTATACGAAGGAGCTCAAAGGAAAGGGTCTATATGATAGCCTCACTGATAACATGTTCTGTGCTGGAAGTCCTGGGATTGATTCTTGTAGAGGGGACTCGGGAGGCCCGTTGGTGTGTAGATATAGGGATCCTGAATTAGGATCACAAAGAATTGTAACTAATCTTGTTGGAATTGTAAGCTGGGGTCCTGCAGGTACGTGTAATACAACTGGCGCGGATGGTGTCTACACTAAGGTCACAAATTATTTGGACTGGATAGCCAAGACTACATCCACAAATGGGGGCTGGGGAGCGTGGGGAGCCTTCACAGAATGCTCAGTTACGTGTGGACCTGGGAAACAATCAAGGATTCGCCAGTGTGATAGACCTTCCCCAATTGGAAACGGAAAATGCCCAGGTGCTGTGCAGAACCAAGATAACGAAACAGCTCGCATTGACTTCGAAATAAGAGCTTGCAACCTTATTTCATGTGACGCTGATATTGATGGGGGATGGAGTGTACGGTGGCCTGACATTATTTGGGGAGATTGTTCTGTAAAATGTGGAGGTGGAACACGAACAGTTTATCGTACATGTAACAATCCGCCTCCTTTTAACAAAGGAAAGCCTTGCAATATCAGTGATGCCAATATAACAGAAGCATGCAACACGGATCCATGTGTGATTGACGGCGGTTGGGAGGAATGGATTGATGATGCCTGTTCTGTGTCATGTGGAGGAGGGTCGATGCGAAAACAGCGTAGGTGTATTAACCCATCTCCAAATGAACTCGGTAAGCCATGCAGAGGACCTTCGGAAAAATTCATCAAATGTAACACCCAATCTTGTGACGACGTAATTGAAGGACATTGGGAATCATGGCGAGATTACACTTTATGCTCTCGAACATGTGGTGGAGGAACGAGATCTCGAATCCGATATTGCGATAACCCACGGCCGCAATACAGCATTTGTCCAGGAGAAAATGGTAAATCTGAATCGATTCCAACGCAGACAGAGACAGCAGAATGTAACACATTTAGCTGTGATTCAGACGTGAACGGTGGATGGGGGCTTTGGAGTGAATACAAGGTAGAATATCAATGGTGGACGCCGATTTCTAAGTACAGAACAAGGCTTTGCGAAGAACCCATGCCGATCAATCAGGGAAAGTCCTGCCTTGGATCGAACGAGACTGTCTTCAAATTCACTAAATTCTGGAGTAGTTACATGCAGATCCAGAAAGAGACAGAACCGTTGAGATAGGAGGAGCGCATTTTTCGATTCATTGCTTGAATTTTTGATACATACATGCATAACGTCTGAAATAAAACCATCACACGTGCATGTGTGGATATGAGCTATGACAGTGCTGTAAGTTTTTCAGGAATACCAAGGGAGATGCAAGGCAATATTGACCATCTTCGTCAGCGAGAGCAGCGATATTTATGAGTAGCCTACATATTGGGTAAAGGTGATGGCCGCGTGTGTAAAATCAAAAGCACATCGATAAGTCAAAAGTTTAATCACACCTTCAAAAACCTACACATCATTGTCTTTAGCATAGAGTTAAGTCTAAGTCACATTTGCAACGGAAACCGTACTATCATTTAACTGCTGCCAGTAATATTCCTCTGCAGGCATCCTAGACTTCCACCAACGCGAACATCAGTTCTGACCCTGCGAACAACGTTCCCTGCGCTCAAACCACGATTCTCACTTCGCGAACGTAAAATTTCTAGTCATTTCCTCGGTCCAGAACATATTTCTCTACTCGCGAACAGAGATCCGTGCTCGCGAACCACACACGTGATCGAAAAGGTCCGTAATTTTATTCGTATTATTAACGCATAACTTAAATTCCAACGAAGTATTTTTATTTAGAATTCGAAAGAAATACTTTCACAGTTTTTCGTGCACGTTAATGACTATCCACTAATTGAAGATAACAGCATCTCCAAGCTCCAGGAAACACAAAACACTGGGACTACTTTGCGATCCCACGCATTGACATTTGAAGTGAAAGGGCTGGGCAACAAAGACATGGCATTTATTTGGCTGCGGAAAGCTTATGACTCTATTGAAATATATGTACATTGTATATGTATAAGGGCCAATGTAAACTGCATGCAACCACTCCTGTTGTTGCTTGCAATTGGAATCCCAAATACCCGGATGCACTATGTACAAATAGTTTGTGAGCACGGATCTCTGTTCGCGAGTGGAGAAATATGTTCGGGAGTGAGGAGATGGTGGTCCGGAGGTTCGTGAGGTAAGAACTGATGTTCGCGTTGGTGGAAGCCTAGGAGGCCTGCTACGGTCACCTTAGAATTTCTACGGTCAGATACTATGGGAGTCACATTTGCTACGGCACTTGTAAGGCGTATTTTGATTTTGAAAAGACATAAATACTACGATGCACTGTCAGCGTAGGGCATCCTTTAGTTTTTCTTGACAAAAACCAAGGTAGACGCAAGGCAGCCGCGGGGGGGGGGGGGCTTATGGCGTTCCTTTGGTTCGCAAATGTCAATTGTAGCCCATAAAATCCAAGGGTAGTCGTAAGACTATTATACGTCCGACGGTCACCGTTGGACCTTTCTAAGGTTTAGCTGCGGCTTGTTGATTTCTACGGTGGCCGTACGAACGAACAGAGAACATTTCCTGTAGTTCTCTTTTGTTATACACCTTCTCTCTTTTTACACAACAACAACCATTATGATAGGAAGAGACTGGATGACTGTATATTTCATTCGTCCCGGTGTAAAAGGGTAGGTGGTCCTATCAAATGTTGGTCCTACTCTCTATTGATTTATATGGTGACATAATTACAATTATTTTCCTTATTATTTATACACAGTCAGGGCCAGTAAGGGCCGTAAGGAAAGGGGACCATAATACCCGGGGGACCATAATTTCTTTTACACCGGGTTATAATTAGTCCACTGGTACTGCACTCTTCAAACAAGTACTAGTAACCGAAGCGGATCCTTTTCGGTAACATAATGTCGGATCCTCTAGTGTATTTAGGTACCCTGCGTGCAGAGTCTAGTTATGAACAACTGAAGACGAAGCGGCTCTCTTTTAAGAAGTGAGGTCGAACGAATGCAAAGGGTAGTATTTAGGAAGAATATCCAGGACATCTTTATCACAAGCGTGTGTCAGTATCATTATATTAGTTAAACATCTACACCACCCTATGCAGACAGAGCCTGTGGGAAATATTGGGTGCGGAGCAAATGAGCGGAGGGTGCGGAGCTAACGGTCATTTTTGAATTTAAATTTGGGATATTTCTGAAACTAAGCCGTTTTGGGACTTCAAATATACCAAGATATGTGTATTTGACACCAAATATCAATACAATTGTGAAAATAGTAGCGCAATTCATTCTATAGCGACGCAGTGTGCCTTAAACCTTTCCCAGACCTATATATTTTGAAATTATCCTTTTAATACTGAGTCCCCAGCATTCATGAAAAATAGTGTTCAAGGTACACTATCTATACAAATTATTTTTGCATCTTGGAAGCCAGGCAGTATCTGTGTGATTTTATAAAAATTCGGAAATGTTTTTCAGATATGAGCCCCCTCTAAATATTGGTTGCGGAGGTACGTTTATGGAGCTCCTCCGCACCCAATATTTAGAGGGGGCTCATATCTGAAAAACATTTCCGAATTTTTATAAAATCACACAGATACTGCCTGGCTTCCAAGATGCAAAAATAATTTGCATGGGTAGTGTATCTTGAACACCATTTTTTATGAATGCTGGGGACGCAGTATTAAAAGGATAGTCTTAAAATATACAGGTCTGGGAAATGTTTAAGGCATACTGCGTCGCTATAAAATGAATTGCACTACTATTTTCACAATTTTATTGATATTTGGTGTCAAATACACATATCTTGGTATATTTGAACAAGTCCAAAAACGGCTTAGTTTCAGAAATATCCCAATTTCAAATTCAAAAATGACCGTTAGCTCCGCACCCTCCGCTCATTTGCGCCGCACCCAATATTTCCAACAGGCTCTGTCTGCATAGGGTGTACACGTTTGCGAACAAATAGTTTAGATGGCGACAGAATCATTGATATAACACCTCACTATAATTCTATCGTCTTAGATTTTCTTAAACATATATGATATTGATCCACGCCTGTGATATTTTTTGAGATTCTGCCTTTAACTCGTAAAATAAGGAAAAAATCGGAGAAGTCGGATATGGAACACTCGTGCAATGGATCCATTCTCAATTGTAACCTGCAAGGTCGGACACTCTTCGTAATTTGATTCTGACCACTTATCACGATATACCAAGATGCTGAATGACAGCGTGAGTAAAAAAAAAGACAATAAGCTTTCCCAGATCCAATATTGTTGAGCAATCAAATACGACTTTTTCTGTTCAGTTTTATAGTAAAATCAAAATACAGTAATATGTACCCTGCGCGCAGAGTCTCGTTATAGACGAAGCTCTCTTTTGAGAAGCGAAGTCAAACGAATGCAAAGGGTAAGTAATATGACATGGCGAGATAGAATACACATAGTTAAAATAAAAATATTTTGTTAAAAAGGAATTGAAATGATATTTGGTTTCAACATTTTTGACCCGATCATTGACCTGAATTAACTTTTGTTAACTCCCTTACATGGTGTTATCTGAGTTTGACCAATAGAGAATAAAGGCCGTGTTATTCATATAAATTTTTAATCCCATTTGAACAGTCTGGTGAAAAGCTAATAATACGTCGGCACTCGTCCAATTCAATTGAGGCTACTCCTACAATAAAACTCGCTTGCATTGAACACAACGGTTTTAGTTCAGTAGATGCCAGTTTATTTCCTGCCGACGTTTCTATTTCATCTTTCACTGAAGAGAAACGCCATATACTTCAAAATTGAACTCCTAATTACTCTAAGGAAGCCGGGAGTAATAAGCCCATTTAGCCTAAGCTAATTCCATTTATAGATGGCAGTCATATGATAAAAATTCAGGAAATGATAACAAAGGAGGTATAGGGATTCTCTAGATTTTTCACCCTTTTCTTTGATTCTTTGAAAAAATTATTTTTATTTTAAAAAATTCTTGGGCCATAGGTCATGATAAGATTGTTATCTATTTAAAGACATCAAAGATATATCTTTTCCAACAGTTATATAACTGGAAAATGACTAATTGGTCAAGGGTCACTACAGGGCCATGCATTACATGTGAATTAGTTAATCTACTTTCTTCTTAGTATTTCTTCTGAAAGTACAAGATATCTAACATCTATAATTACATTTTGTAGTATTCGTTAATAAAAATGTCTGGAGGAAAAACTTTAGAAATATTTTCAATGATGTCAAATGTAAGTGTAAGTTGGCACATTGGATCAGTTTCTGAGTCTGCGAATAAATTATTTGGGATTAGTTATAAAACTATGTCTGAATGTAAACTCTCAAATCCTGCATCAATTATCTGAATGATCTCTAACTATCTAGCTAACTTAACCTTTTATCCTGTATCAGTATGTGGATAATAGTAAACATTGTAATTCAAGCTGCACTTAAAACAAGCAGTACATGTATCTTACTGGTGGCTATATAAACTTATTGACCCCAGGTTATAACATCAAGCCAAATATTTTAAACAAAATAGCCAATATTCATCTTTATTTTCCATTATTTATGTTGTTTTAAAAGACTAAAAAACTTCATACCAATGATATATAAGATCTTACCTAAAGATCTCTTGATTTTCCGAATGAATGAGGAAACAGAAATGGTAGCATTATGATGTTAAAATCATAGTATACATGTGATGTTTTACATGTTGGTTCAATGGGAAACTGCTTTAGGCCTAAGATTCTTTTCCTGAAAATTGGCTAGACATCTATTGGCTGTTTATAGAGTATTTTCAACTATTTAGCAAGGCTAAACTCCTGTATTGGTGCGGCTACCTTACCCTGCCATACGGCAACCATCCGGACATCGAGAGAGAGCGGTGTACCACTGAGAGCACGTAAAATCACACAAATCCAGAGATGACCCTAAGATGACCGCAAATGCCATGCCATGAGTTTGGATCGGGATAAATCGACAACTTTTGTCTCTGAAATAATAGGACCTCCTACCATTTTACACCGGCCGATTTCGGAGTGATAGAGAGATTTTTCCCCGGGTTTTCCAAGGCTTCGAATGATCATTCAAGTCAACTGTAGAGAGTTTTACTGCATTTCTACTTTATATGCCAAAAAACAGCCTTACAATCGCTTATATGAGTCAGCAATCTATATCCGACGTGCCTTTAACCATTGTGAGAAACAATGCAATAAGATTGTACATTAATCGATGCGGTTTGCGTCTATTAAAATATATGACTAATACACTCACCGTACAAAACAATATATGTGAAAACATTTTATGCATAGCACTGACTCGTTACAAGCAGGCAATAGAGGAGAGGAAACTGGTAAATTGGTAAATTTAACAACTGTTATATCGAGTGACTGAACCGAATCCACGCTTTACGAACGATGAAGGTCCCAACGTTGATGATATTGAGCCTAGTGGCACTAGCCACGGCACAACTGCAGAACATGAAGAAATTAGGAACTGCCAACAACGAATTTGCCCTGAACCTCTACTCAAAGATCAACGAAGATGAAAAGGGTAATATATTCTTTGGACCGTTGAGTATCTCCACCGCCCTCGCCATGGTTCACCTGGCCGCTGGCGGGAACACAAGCAGTCAGATCGAGAAGGTCATGCGGTTCGAAAGCGTCGGTGCAAACTTCAAGGAAATATTCCAGGACTTAAATACACGTCTGTATAATAGAAACAACAATTATACTCTGACTTCAGCCAACAGACTCTTCGGTGATCAACAATTCTCCATCAGAGATCAGTTCCTCACTGACGCTGACAATTTCTACAACGCTGGAATGGAGCTAGTTGATTTTAAAAACGCTGCCGAAAACGCTCGAGTCCATATAAATGACTGGGTTAAGAACCATACAGAAGGGAAAATTATGGATCTAATGCCCAAGGGATCGATTGACGCATCTACTATTTTGGTGTTGGCGAATGCACTGTATTTCAAAGGAAAGTGGACAATGCCTTTTGATCCAACCGACACGGCCTCATCAATGTTCTACACATCTGGTAATGACGTAGGCACAAAAATGGATTTCATGTACCAAAAAGCGGAATTCCCTCTCCTCGAAAACGCTGGCCTCAACGTCAAAGTTTTAGAGCTGCCGTATGATGGCGACGATCTCAGCATGTTCATAGTTCTCCCAAACGAACGCACCGGACTCACAGCATTGGAAAACGCAATTACAATCGACGCTCTAGAGACCCTCACCGATCCCACGAATTTCACCACGTCAGAGGACATCAAAGTTTGGTTGCCTAAATTTGAAATTGCACAGTCATTCGATCTCGTTAGTACGTTAAGTGCCATGGGGATGAAGGATCTGTTTAGTTCGAGAGACGCAGATTTGAGTGGGATACATTCGGGAGCTAACCTTTATATGTCTGCCCTACACCACAAAGCGTTTGTCACTATCAATGAAGAAGGTAAATCGTTTGTTTGTTTGTTTGTTTGTTTTATTACACTTGTTATATGGTTCATTGTATGGCACTGCTCATTTGAATTTTGGTCCTCTAACAGTACCATATATCCTAATCTAGGAGATCCTAATAGAATGCAGACATTTTTGAAATATCAGTTGGTTTTGAGTTATTTATTTATCAAAATCGCATTAACATATTTACCTATCAGTGATGAAGGTTAAAGACGCCCAAGTACAGTCTGTTACATTGCTTCAAAGGCAAGCAGTTAAACCTGATCATGAAATATAAGAAATCTAAATAATATTGTGCAATAACATATAGAAAAATATATTCATATTGCACACGAATGACATTTGTATATGTTGGGTTGCTTGTAAATTGGCTCAAAAAGTCTGTAACCTCTTATATTTTGATGCTTCTCTACCATGTTAATTCTCAAAAATAACATGGCGGACAAACCTCAAATTACAAGAGGGCAAAGGCTTATTGCACTAAACATTGAATAATCTGAAATATACAAATGTCATTCGTGTGCAATATGAATATATTTTTCTATATATTATGGCACAATGGTCTATAGATTTCTTATTTTTCAGGTTCAACAGTCAACTGCTTGCCTTCGAAGCAGTGTAACAGACTGTATAGGTGTATGGCTCATTACAAACTAAAATCTATCGAAAGCGTGTATGGTTTTATTGAAAATCTTTTGGTAAACTGTATTTGTAAAGATATAATAATTATATTGATGTAAAAGCAATCCACTGTGTTCAAACATACCCCCCCCCCCATCTACCATTCAGGTATGTGACATAAATCCTCAGAATATATGACTACCTGACCGATTCCTAATTCGTTACTTTCAGGTACCGAGGCGGCTGCAGCAACCGGCGGAGGGATTTCACTGACGTCAGTCCAGGATCCCAAAGAGTTCAAGGCCGATCATCCATTCATGTTCTTCATTAGGGAGAAATCCACCGGATCTATCGTTTTTCTAGGGAGGGTAAAGGAACAGCCCGTCACTTCTGCCGTTTTCAAAAGTGGCTTTTACACCCAGGACGATAACAACACTGCCATGGTGAATAAATATGGTGTCTTCATGTCTCTTATTTGTGTTTTCGTTGCATTTGCTATTTGGAAATAGACGCCAAGAACTGTACAGTAGTTGAAGTCATTGACTTTAAGGTTTCATTTTTGCTGATATATGAAAATGGACCAAAAGTAGAATTATGAAATGAGTTTTGTAAGAGTGGGAATTCTACCGCCAGATTTTCATTCAAAATGCCAATTTGACCAAATTTGTGCCAGTTTGATCAAAATTATACAAATTTGGGTAAAAATTCCAATTTTGAGTAATTTATGCCAATCCGACAGCGTTTTGTAATTCTACTTCAAAAATCTCAAAAAGTATATTTTTATGATATTTTGCTGTTGCATGGGAATTTCAATTCGTCAATTAAAAGGTCGCAATACACAACAAACTGTTTCGCTATACAAAGATCTGGTCCATTGAATGATTAAATGCACCAGATTATACAGGTACAATTGAATGCACCAGGTTGTACGGGTGCACATAAATGCACCAGGTTGTACAGTTGCACATAAATGCACCAGGTTGTACAGGTGCAATTCAATGCACCAGGTTGTACGGGTGCAAATAAATGCACGAGGCTGTACAGTTGCACATAAATGCACCAGGTTGTACAGGTGCAAATAAATGCACCAGGTTGTAGTTGCAAATAAAAGCACCATTGTACAGGTGCAATTAATTGCGCCAGGTTGTACGGGTGCAAATAAATGCACCAGGTTGTACGGGTGCAAATAAATGCACCAGGTTGTAGTTGCAAATAAATGCACCATTGTACAGGTGCAATTAAATGCACCAGGTTGTACGGGTGCAATTAAATGCACCAGGCTGTACAGTTGCACATAAATGCACCAGGTTGTACAGGTGCAAATAAATGCACCATGTTGTACAGGTGCAAACAGCAATACCATGTTAATGGCTTGGATATAAAGTCATTGACAGGAGAATTGAGATCCTTTTAGAACCTATGACGTATTCAGAAATAAAAACTTGATCTTCCAAGGGAAAAGGTACTTAGAATTGTCCTTGTAACAATAGAAGAATACGCACGTAGAAAGCAAAAATAGATATTGATGATTAGCTTTGTATATAACACGTCATAGTTTGAATGCTATTCCCGGGTGACACGAGGACGCCAGATTAATAATCTGACATTCAATCTCTCTCGGGCCACAGCCACGTGTATTATAAACAATGGAAATATATTGTTCTATGTGTAGTGTAAAAAAAGGTTGATGCATTGTACATATTTTTGAAATAAATATTTGGTTATGTTGATATTTCATAAACTATGTTCACGAGTCTGTGATTTTAAGGGAAAACTAACATGGTTCCTTTAAATAGCTCAGCAAACGTGTATTTTGTGTGTGTGTGGATTCGACACGATACTAATTACAGGGTGGTCAAAAAACTGGAAACCCTTACACCATTTTCTTAATATCTTTGTCATTTTAAGAAATAACTTACACATTTGTACATCATTCAATTTCCTACCTGCCTACCTTATTTCATGACCATCAGATCGATAGTCACAGTGTTACACGAGGGGAAAGAGTACCCGTGTATATACCTGTACAACCTACCGCCGAGCAAGACACGCATATACAGCCGAGCAAATGTTTGATAATGTCATCTCGTAGGAAAATGGACAATAAAGGTAATATAATGTCACTATCAATTCCTTTGGATGGTTAGAATTGTTACTAAGATGTTCTAGCAGGCGCGATTGGCCTAGAATTACAGTTGAAATATATTTTATGTCTTGTAACCATTGGATAACCCGTAGTATCTCATACTTGAGTGGGTTTGGGGTAGATATCACCCGGGAATATATATCATATCTGAGGAGCGGGCAGGATATAAATATATGTCCCGCTCCAGGGCAAATGCGGGCAGATATAATATATCCATCCCGCTCCCGGGAATTTTTCAAGTTTTAAAAATTGAAAAAAATTAACATTTGAAAGTTTAAAATTTTCTAAATAGTTTAAATGTTACAATTTCATTGTATTGAACCGAAGGAATATTAAGAAAATGTTAAATATAAATTGTGCTTTTACAGTATAGGCCTATCTTGTCATTTGACAAAGGTGGAACCCCAAACCCACTTAAGTATGAGATACACCAGTTATGTACGATCGGTTTTGGATATAGGGTATATCCCTCGGGAAATATTTATATCTCCCCTTGGTCCCTTCGGTCCCTCGGGGTGATATAAATATATTCCTCGGGATATAACCTATATCCAAAACCTCCCAGTACATAACCCTTATGTATTTCATACCTACTGAGGTTCTAGGTACATAACGAGCGGGAATATATAGTGTATCTACTGTATGGATACAGCGTATATCCATCCCGGTCCCGCTCCTGAAAAAAATTGAAACATTTTTTTTCAAAATTTTATTCAAATTTTTTTCAAAATTCTTTCAAAATTTTTTTCAACATTTTTTTCAAATTTTTTTTGTCAACATTTTGTTCACATTTTTTCAATTTTTTTTTCAAAATTAGTTTCACATTTTCTTTCAATTTTTAATCTCGCAAACTTTAAGACCAAGAAAACGCCTAGTACCTTAAGTATGTTTTGGAATTTTGGATCTTTATAAGGTATGATGTACCTAGAACCTCAGTAGGTATGAAATACATCTGTTATGTACGGTCGGTTTTGGATACAGTGCTTATCCCTGCGGTCCCTCGGGAGATACACATATTTATCCCATACTTGGACGTGTTACAGGTACATAAAGCCGGTTTGTAAAAACTTATATTTTCATCAGCGGGCAGATATAGCTTTACGTCCCGCTCCGAGCGGGCAGATATAGTATATCTGCCCGCTACGTCATAATCACCGCTCGCATATTTGTTCATAATTTGTAACGTTCGCGTAATGACTGTAAACGACAATGGAGAAAACACAGACAATCTGGATCTGTTTGATGGTTTAAAAAAGGGAAGGAGCCTCCACTTAATCAATCAAAAATCCGAGAAAATAAATGTGGGAATATTTGAGAGAACAGGAAAGTCCGCCCACAGCCAAGAAAACAAAACTGGACGTGAATATTCTAAAATATTTCCACGATTGAACAATGTGAACCAGATGACCAAGATTGGTATGGGATAAACATATTATCCTATAGTCGGTTCAGGATATTTTGATTATCCCTTGGCCAATATAACATATTTTCCCTCGGGACCTGCGGCCCTCGGGCAAATATATTATATTGGCCTCGGGATAATCCCAATATCCTGAACCTCATATAGGATAATCTCTATTTCCCTTGGGATAAACCCTGTATCCAAAACCTCCCAGTACATAACCCTTATATATAATTGGGATAACAGTCGTGATTCGACGCTGAAATTGGTTTATTCATAAAGCAAAGAAAAAAGTGGACGGTTTTTTGTGTATCACCCTGTATGTACGTTTCCGATCTTACGATAATTTACGCGTTCTGATACCTAGTAGCTAACCGTTGAAAAATCAAATTTATCAAGCAAAACCGTATACATGTAAGCAGAAATGTATTGGAGCCGATCGATTTCGAAAGTAACTTGCACTTAATTTTAGTCATGAAATACGTTTCACGATAACGTCAGTTATTATTGGACACGTCACGATACGTGAGTACATGTGTATTTGGATACCCTGCGAGCATAGTATAGCCTCGTTATAAACCATGATCCTGAAAAGGTTTGCACGTTGTGTACTTTGAAACGTTAAAGCACCTCACTGTTTCATGTCATAAACATTTTAAGACATGACGATTTGAGAATAAAAATTCACATTTTTCAAAAAGTAGAATAAAAGTAGATTTCTGCATTGGCAATTTCACAATAATAAAACAATATCATCCAACCTTACATTAAGGATTGTGTATGCTTGTTTAAAATAACGAAAATAGTCAAAATACGCTCTTTGGTCTGTAATATCACTTTATCATTTTTAAGATCAAATATAAAATAGCTTAGCCTTTCAAATGCCTGGTGGCCTTAATGTGCGGTGATTTAATTTCTTGGAACTGGTACTTTGCATAGCATATAAGTTTTGATCAAATGAAAATGTTCTCTATACATGCTATAAGCTTACTTCCTGCGAAAGCTATTTGGATTTTGATATAATAGCTTTCCCACGGAGCATTTGGACAGCTCAATGATCGTGACCTTTGAAATCGAATTAAGTCGATCCGCGGCTTACTTTTGGTCTCTAACTGTGTCTTACATCAGTATCATCAATCCGTGTAAGTATTGGAGCGCTGGAGTACTTCTTTTTCGATCAAGACTTGTAATTGCTTAGTCGAGAGAATCGTTTTACTGCCAAATTCCAATATGGCGGTTTCTGTTCGGACATTTTCGTAAATCTCCGGAGGTTGTCCGAACCTAACTAATTCTCAAAATTCATTTCGTTCGTTGCGTATCTCACACCTAGCAAACCGCCATATTGGAAATAGGTCTGTAAAACTTTAACTCGATGAACAATTTACAAGTCTTGATCGAAAAAGAAGTACTCCAGCGCTCCAATACTTACACGGATTGATGATACTGATGTAAGACACAGTTAGAGACCAAAAGTAAGCCGCGGATCGACTTAATTCAATTTCAAAGGTCACTATTGATCAGCTGTTCACTTCTCCGTTTGAGAGCCATAAGTTTCAAAATCTAACATGGCTCTCGAAGTGAGTAACTATAAGCCATTCTGATTTATCAGAGTCCCTCTTTACCTAACGCTTTTGAACTATTCCAAAAGGCTGTGGATCCCACAATGGCTATAAGCTGATTGTTTTGCCATGTTATATTGTTCATAGGCTCTCGAAGAACATTTTACGTATCCTGCATGTAAGTAGTATTTTCAGCTTCTCGTGTACACTTTACAAAGCTGATATCTATTTTTGTGACGGAAGTGAAGATAAGAAATCCTTCATTTTTGAGTATAAATTAAAAAGAAAACCCATAGACAAGGTTAATCGAGACACCCCGCCCGTCCATCCGTCCGTCAAATTGATCATAATATAAAAAAATTGAAGTCAATTCATATCGGCCACCAATCGCCATTCCAGGCCATTAATTTGGCGGACTTTTAATATTGAAATTTATGTACCATACAAAGGAGGAGGGAAAGTATCCCAACAGATTTCGGAGAGTCATGTGTTGGATTTTTGCAATTTTCTGAGGATTTAAACAGGTGAATATGTTCGACCAATGCATTACCTCCAGGAAAGCACTCCTAGAGATGATAAAATAATTTCGACTTTGAGACAGGGAAGATGCAAACAAACCACCCACATGTTTTTCTGAAATGTTATCCTGATTTTCAACCCCCTTTTTAATCTTTCTTGCATCAATATGTTTTGTTCTGACAAACAGTTAACCCCTTGAAAGCAATAAGTGATTCCTTTTAGATAAAGTGGAAAACAATATTTCCCATGTTATTTTCCCATAGGGAAAACTCATGCGATCCATTGCTCACAGCTAATTTTGGTCACCCATAATGGATATCTTTAAAACCCCCGAAGGAATCACTTATTCCTTTAAAGTGGTTAACTGTGTGGCAAAACGCAATATATTGATGCAACAAAAAATAAAAAAAGCAGGGGTGGAAGGGGGTGAAAATCAGAACAACATTTCAGAAAAAACATGTGGTTGGGTGGGATCTAGTACTTGAAATTGAGGTAATGTACTTCTACTTAATTTGGTGCTACATGTCCTGGCTGTTTCGACCATTTGGCGGATCCATTGCTTTCAGCTAATTTTGGTCACCCATAATGGATCCATGTTTCCCGTCTCAAATTCGAATTTATTTTATCATTTCTATGACTGCTTTTCCTGGAGGTAATGCATTGGTTTTACATATGCACATGTTTAAATCCTCAGAGAATAGCCAAAATCCAACATATGACTGTCCAAAATCTGTTGCGATTCTTTCCCTCCTCCTTTACGATTGAAACATGAAATACAGTCGACTACTTAATTTGGCGGACTTTAAAAATTTGGATTTTAAGTAAACACCTTTTGGTATGAGAGTTATTTTTTGGCAATGTTGGGTTTTATAAGCATTAAGTCTTTTTGATGGTGAATATGGCTGAAATAGCCCACCAAGTATATTTTTGATATATTTAACAAGACACCATAGATTTCTAGATTTCATCATGATTGTTGCAGTTAATGACATTAACAGAATGAAATGTTGGGAGCTGCATCCATTGTGTTCATTCCTCAATTTACTCAATTTTTTTAATATCATGCAAAATATCCTGAGTTAGTAATCCAATATAATTTCCCCAGATTTAGATGATCATTTTACAGTTTATCCACAACATAACTGAAGTTTTGTAACCTATGCAGTGATCTCCCAAGGATTTTTTCTCAGGTGGGTGCATAATTCTCATTTTCACAACTCAGACCAAAATATGCCAATTTTTCGTGATTTTTCTCATTTTCAAGTGGGTGCAAAAGGATTTTCAGGTGGGTGCAAGCTTATTTTCAAAATCTCAGGTGGGTGTTGCGCTCACTTGTTTAATGCTGGGGAGATCACTGCTATGTGTCATCTATATTTTCTGGGTAGCTGACGAAATCCCTGCAGTTTTAATGTTACAACACTGAAGGCCAAAATGCAACCTGCTGACGGATGTATTCCTAAGATATTGTATGTCATGATACTGTACTCCGGGTAAATTTCGACGCTATAAAATTTCGCGATTTCTCAAAATTGCAATTTCGCGGCTATTTAATTTCGCGGATTTGAGTTGATGACATTTTGCGGATTGCACAAGTTGAATTTTTTTCAGATTACCATGATTCATTGATGCGTACCTGGCTATTTAGCCCATTCAGAATCCGAATGATGTTTGTATATTTTCCACGTTTAGGGCATTTATTTGAATATTCTTGTTTGGCTTTTTCAACTTCAATTTGTAGGATATCATTGTCGTCAACAGTTCTTGCCTTTGTTGGCCTAACAACAAAATGTTAGACATTTAGTTTGAATTATCGCCCAACAACAAAATGTTAGACATTTAGTTTGAATGATCGCCCAACACCACTGGAGGATACGTTTTACACCGAATGAAACATATCAAAAGTCCCGGGCCAAATCCCCGGGGATTTAAAAGACCAATTTCGCGACGATAAATGTTCGAGATTTTACTACATTCGCGAACAAAGCGAAATTAAATCGCACGCGAACAATACCCGGAGTACAGTATCATCCAGGCCCGTAGCCAGGGGGAGTTCCCCATGGCCAAAAATTCTTTCAAAATCATGCAGTTTTCACCATTTTGAGCACTTCTCAAGTGATTTTAGCCATATTTGAGCCAAATTTGTCAAATGTGAACCCCCCCTGGAAATTTTTGAAAAATGACCCCCCCCCTTGGCAAATCCTTGCTATGGGCCTGTCATCTATGCTGTGCAGGGACTTCAATAAGTTATACATTGTACAGTGATATGTAGGAGGTTCATAATCACAACAGGACTTTGAAGTGTTCTGCTTATGGAGGTTCTCTACTTTACAGTTTTATACAGTTATGTATACTGCAACCGGCAGGGTTGATGAAGAACACCCAGCAAATGTTCTGCCCTTCATGCTCATCAAGCTAGTCGATCATCCCCCCTCACAGCTCTATACTTCGCCATTTCATTAGGGAATACCTGACTAAGTTCTAATAACAACAGAACTTTAAACTTTTTAAATCCATCAATTTTCCCTTTCACAGATTCATTCTTAGATAGCGACTTCTCCATACAGTGCCTTGTGTATAACTGTGGGTTCCTACCCTGATCAATGTATTCAAATACATCAAGAGGAACCTGTACATCCTGAAGTTGACTTTTTAGCTTGTCTATATCTTGTAGTCCGGAGATCATTCCCTGTAGTTTCTGGTTAAGAACACTCTGTCCTTGGGGTTGAAAATCACTCACTGTAATGCCTATTTGACGTGTGTTCTCAATAAACATTTCCAAGTTTTGTTCAAGGGTTTCAAATTTGTCAGCCATGTTGAGATTTAGATGTAGCCTGAAGTCTGTAAATAAAAATATGCCACTTAGAATATTGATAAATGTTACTATGGAGATAACGATCCTAAAACAAAGACGTTTTTATATGTTTCTCATCATATTAACCTACTATTTCATGGGCATCTCATTTAAATATGGTATGAATAGTACCTGACACAGAGACATATAAAACATGTTTTTTATGTCTCTGCCTGACACTATTCATTCAGATCTAAATGGGTTGGCATGAAATAGTACAGTAGGCTAATCCAACAGCCAAAAGTTGCATTTGTGAGAACAAGAATAGACTATTGAAATCACAATACTATTCTAGACGAGACAAAAATAAATGGAAGAAGGCATTGACATGCAAAATGTCACAACCTGCCATTTGTTATGGACACTGACCAATGAACGCCAACAGCTCAGCTTGGTTGCAAAAAAGTTGGTGACCATAACAATATGTCACCATCAAACATGTATTCCTTACACAGTAGAAGAGCATGTAGCGCCATCTTTATATAGTTCTGACTGGGGCAGAGAACTCTGATCTATTAGACTCCCTTACAGAGATTCAATTCATGCCCCACCCAAAACAGTATATAGATGGCGCTACATGGTCCTGTGATTCATTATTCAATTTGATACTTTATCAACATTGGTTGAATTGAAATTATGAATAAGACACTGTAAACCTACAAGGCCTAAACTGTGCAATTCGCTTGTCACTGGTAGAAATCCATTAATCACACATCTGGTGTTCTTGCACATGCGTAGTGGTAATAAAACCTGTCTTATAAAATATGGCTGTGGTGTTTGGAGGCTAGGTCATGTTGTCTGGTAAGCTTAAAATCTATGATTTCTACCTACATTTCACTGTCTGGACCCAGTACCTAATTATCTTATGATATTAAAGACTTGCTGAATCATATTTATTTTGACATAATGTTCCTATTTTAAAGGTATCAGTTAATATAAAATAGATATTTTCTGCATTATTGAGTGTACTTTTCCTTCCTATTTTCTATATTTTCCTGATTTTTTACATCAGAACTTTTTTCACAGTGAGAAACAATGAAGTATTATGAAACAATATCAGTTGAAGAAAAGTGTACATTATTTTGTTTAAAGAAGATATTGGCATTTCAATTGAGAAGGTGTTGACCAAAATTGATATTTTTAGCATTGGTTTGAATAGGCAACTTTGAGCTGCTGCTTGCAGAAAATAAGTGAAATGTCAAAGGAAAAAAATAATGTAGAAAATTGGCTTAGTTGAGTAGAAAGAGGAGACTTCTAGGTAGAAATCCGTCAAAAAATTAGAGAATTCAAAAATCAGAAACTATTTGAAAACTAACTTTTCATGCAAATTTGTACAAAAATTAAAAATTTGTTTACATACAAGTGTTTCATTTACAAAAGATAGATACAATGGAATGTGTTAAAATTAAGTAGATTATGATTGGAGTTCATAGACTTTTTTTACATCTCTGGATTGATAATTGATCATATTTTTAAATTATAGTAAAAGCTTGAGTCTCTAAGTAAGTTTAAAAGAGTAATTACATGAAAAGTGAATGCGGTTTAATTAACCAAAAGTGGTTGTAGCATTAAGTTTCTACAGTGGAAGCCTGCTTGACCTTCTAGTAAACAAAGCTAAGAACTGGATACTAGGGTCATTAATCAACACCAGCTTGACAAGCGAACTGCAGGCTTGGGTTTACAGTGAAGACTGGTCTAAAATTATGCACTGAAAATGTTCTGATTATGCGATTTCTAGCTCTTTTAGATAACAAAAGGTGCAATAAATATATCCCATATATAAACAGTAATTACACTACTATCAACCAGCTCCGCCCGAGACAAAACCTAGTGAATAAATGTCATATTCATATTAGTTTACAATTTTTTTATCCAAACACGGGCGCGGCCATTTTGACTAATCACATGATCGAGATAAACCAATAGAATGGCTCGTAACATAAAATTTTTCATTTGGAAACGAGGCTCTGTACGTGGCGAAGAAAATTCTGTGGAAATTGTGTCAAATAATTTGATAATTTATTATAATTTCGTCGGGTTTTAGTCATTATTTCTACCTAGGTGTATAGTTAAACGTCTCCAGAATGTCTGCGGCTGGAGAATTCGGGAATCCACTGAGGAAATTCAAGTTAGTTTTTCTCGGGGAGCAGAGCGGTAAGTGATTTTTCAGATTTTTTATCTGATTTCCTCGATCAAAATATCTGAATAAGATAACGCTATTTACATGTTTAATTTGCGGTATTATGTCTGTGCATGTAATTCCAATATAGGGTCATTGTCAACTTCCTTTGAGATTATCATATTAGCAATATTTTTGTTTGACAATTTTAGGGTAGAACTCCTGGTGAGTCATCCTTGATAATATTCTATCATTATAAGCTTACATGTTGGAACTATTATTGTAAAGTCACTTATGTCATTAATATACATAGTGGTATTGACCGTGAACATATGAGTCTACCGTCTGTCTTCATTGTGACTCATTACACCCCAGCAATTTGTATCATTTTCACTGTGGATAATATATTCGCACAATGTAAATAAATCATATTTTATAATTCATAATTGAATAACGATACGATGCTTTGATTAGAATCATTTGATCTCTAGAATAAATACAAATATGTTTGCATTTCCCTTATTCTGTTACTTTCATGATTGTGGGATTCGGAGGATTACATTTTGATTTATTGTCTTTCACTCTTGAATTACAGTTAAATCTCAATCTATGAACCTAGCCACAGTTATTTTTTCCTTGTATGTCTACATAAGTAAACAGTGATTTCTGTACAGATTGGAACATAAATAAATGACAGGTGGATTTGCTGAAGTGAGAATTTCCCATGTTAAAAATAAGAGAATTTTCAAGAGGCCATACATCAGCAGATGAGATTATACAAAATGTAAAATATACACATTTTAGGGGATATGTATCAAGACAATATTGGAAACTATGGGCTTTCAGACGACTATTGTTAGGAAATGGTGATAGAAAATCTACCTGTCATTTATTTATGTTCCAAACTGTATGTGGTAATAATTTGGCTAATTTGAGACATATACCCCTACCCGCTTCGCACAATTTCCCACACAATTTCCAGATGAAACAATGCAATACTTTTTAACTTTAGAATGATCCACCAATGTCAGAGGAACACCTGATTAATTTAGATTGTTTTTCTTAATATAAAAAAAACAATCTTGATATGATGGCATATCCAAGCAATATCAGGCAATATTATGCAATAAGCTAACGAGCCTATTTCATCTGAACCTCACAGCTAAACACTTCATCAAATCAAGTCACATCCGGGGAAAGCAAAGGTTCATAGTATTGTATGTATAGGGGAATCAATTTTAGACAATGTTACTTCACTCATGTCTCTCTTTCAACAAACACCTTTATACCTGGTACCTAAAAGCATACCTCATTTTGCGCCAAAAATGACTTTTTTATAATTCTTTATTCTTAAAGGGACATTTTACCTTAAAAATTCCATAAATGACATAATTTTTTATTCTAAAGGGACATTTTACCTTAAAAATTCTATAAATGACCTTATAACTTTTATTTTTAAAGGGACATTTTACATTAAGAATTCTAAAAAATAATCATTGAATTTGTCTTGTATTTCAGTTGGAAAAACCTCAATTATCACAAGATTCATGTATGACAGTTTTGACAACACATACCAGGTGAGTTCACTTATTTATGAAACAAATATTATAAGCACCTTAGCCTAATGTGAATAAAAAGTTCATTAATTTATGAAACAAATATTATAAGCACCTTAGCCTAAGGTGAATAAAAAAGTTCACTAATTTATGAAACAAATAAAAAAGTTCACTAATTTATGAAACAAATATTATAAGCACTTTAGCCTAATGTGAATAAAAAAGTTCACTAATTTATGAAACAAATATTATAAGCACTTTAGCCTAAGGTGAATAAAAAATGTTTAGTGAATCATCTCTAATTTTTTAAGTCTGTACTATAGCAACATACCTGTATTTGATGAGATGTTCAAAACTTACCCCCCCCCCCAAAAAAAAAATCTAACAAGACTACATGTTTTATGGAATGTGTATTAAATTTAAAATTCTGATTAAGTGGTATTATGTTAATGAATAATAGTAAATCCTGTCATAAAAAAACAATCTTAGCATGAAATATATGATCTATTCCATATATGGTAAATGCCTAGGAGAATGATATATACATGTACCGTGTACAAATAACTTATTTAGACTCAGAAAGTTGAAAAATAGCTCAGATGACTGCATTTTTTCGATGGTTGCATCATCTCGATGGATTGGTTTGATGAAAGCATTGATAAATTTGTTTTACATGCACATCTTCAATGAATTAATACCAATGGATATATAACTTCAATGAATGCATTATCTTTAGGGATAATTTTTTAATGCTCATTGCCCTATATTGGGTTTTTGATTAACCTAGTTTTTTAGGTTTGATTTTGAAAAATTAGTCTTACTATTAGACCTATTTACTGACCTGTTACTTTGAATACTGCTTTAAATAATATTTGCTATTTTAAATTGTGCTTTTATACTTTAGTAAAATACCTTCAGATACATTTTTGTAGCAGAGATTTATAATTTATGGTTGTTTTAAATTTTTATCTATATCAATTTAATTGAACTTTTGCTGATAATATTTTTGTTTCTATGTAGTCTGTCTAACATAAGTTACAAATCCACACCACTAGACACATGTATCTTCACATACTAGTTTCACATCACTAGATATTTTATTTACCATTTTGCATCACCACAAAATATTTTCTCATCTAATTCTACACCACAAGTCTACTAGATCCTATGTACCACTTAATATTTTTACATTTTAACACATTCTTTTTGCATTACTAAATAAACATTGCCAGTAACCATGGCAATAGCGCTGATTAATATTTATACATCCAATAATATTACATCACTCGATATTCTTATGTAACATTGTATAACACCACTAAATATTTCGTTTGTTTATTTTGCGATATTCAACTATGAAGGTTGAGGTAGGTGGAACGTTTATTTCAACCTTCATCGTTGTAAATTCATATATTTTTGAATTTTAAGTTTTATATTTAGCGGTAATTTTATTTAATTTTTTTTATTGATATGCATTTATTTAATTCATTGTTATCTAAAAGTATATATACGAGTATATATATTTTTAGTTTTATACTTAGTAGCAATTTTATTTTTTATTATTTTATTTTTTTTATTGAGATGTACTTATTTAGCCAGGTATTGTTGTCAAATCATATTTTTATAAGTTTATACTTTGCAGTAATTTTATTTTGATTATTAAATTATTGTTGTCAATTCATATTTATTTTTTAAATCCTTATTTTTGGATATTTATCATAATGAGATTATATGAGATTTTAATTGCTAGGCTTATTAATTTATTTGTTATTTACTTTCATATGTTTGAGTGTATATATCTGTGCAGTATATATTTTAGTTAGGTTTTTATTATATTTATGGGAAATGTATTTATAGGACTTCCATGCATTTTCAAGAATTCTTATCTGTATAATGTATAAATCTAGATGCACATTTCAGAATTTGTCACTTTACAATCAACAATTTTGCAATATTTATGATCTCAGAAACATCTTCTTTAATAAACAGCCTTGAAAACGTGTCACACTGGACTGATACCTTGCGTATTCTGAAAGTGCCAGTAATTCACATATTTCATCTTCAAAGATCATTTGCATTATCTCCAATTTGCAGAGTCTCTCACAGACACTACCCTTTTGCTCACCTGTATTCACACTACCCTACCACGTGACCACGTTTAAAAGGGAAACAGGGTACAGCTTAGTTGCAAATGGAGGACGTGGGTTTAATTCCATATTTCTGAACGTAAAATACATTTTACATATATTTCTAGTGTTCTACCAGACATAGAATTGATTCATCAAGGAGTGTGTAGAATATTGTTGGCAAAAAAACACTATAGGCAAAGATAGATAATAGTGGGCGCAGTGAAGCAAAACCAAATGCAATACACGATACATTTCAGTAAATCTATCAACGTACAGGGAGCATGTAAGTGTCCCTTCGAAAATGTTACATTGATATGTAACAAAAACCCAGTTAACTGTTGTTTAAACTGCGTGTCATCGTGTTATAGGTGGATACGTTTTCTAGTATGTTAGTCAACTGTATTTTTGTGAATTTGAACAAAACATTTTGAATGGTCGGGTTTCTAGGACGGTAGTGAATTAGACCATTCAAGGGGTTCTATAGAAAGATTCTTCATATGTAGTTCAGGCAATTTTAATTATTCTGAGTAGCAAATAGTCATTAATACTGATAGCGGATAGTCATTTATCATTAACGTGTTGATATTTAATTTGGTTATTTTATTTCAATTTGATACCCTAGTAACACGTATAATCTAGCGTTCTTGTTAATTTAATGACTAAAATGCATACGACTTGAAAGCCCGTGTCTAAATCTACAAAATAATGTTTACTTTATTTGGATTAAATAACAATTGATGACACCTCAAAGCATCAACAGGCGGCCTTTTTAGCATTACTTTCACTGTTTGCAATGTAAATGTACATGAGGTCGGGACATAGTATGTCTGTATAATCAGCTTACTTTCTCGCTCCCTGTACTATTGAACAATTTACATTCCTTGTACCCTGTATTGATCAACTTTTGCAGCTGTGTACCGTGTACTATGACATATCAAATATTTTAAAATTGAAAACGATATTATTTACATTATTTCTTCAACTATCATATAACTTGGAACATGGACTTCACTATTGCACCACTGAAGTGTAGCGAATAGCAATATTGACTCACTCCAAGCACCAAACGTATTAACCTTTTGACTAAGCAGTCGATATACTCAAAAGCGACATGTTTGAAAGCCAAAAGATTCGCGCATGCGCGATCGAGGTAGGGTAGTGTGGTATTGTGATTATGTCACCACCACAACTGATGACATATTGTTATTGTTATTGTCCCCACCTTTTTTATGGATGGTGTACTACAGCATTTGGCAATTGGTATTTGGAGTTTGGTATCGGTAACAAATGGCAGGTGGTGATATATTGCATGTTAATGCCTTGTTTCTATATATGTATATTACGTTTAAAAGTGTGAGACTAATGAATTACCTGTATAGCTGAACACCTCTCTAAACAGAACACCTCTGAAATATGAACACTTTCTCTCAATATGAACACTTTTCATTGTGAATACCTTTTCTCAGGCCCAAATCTGGTTCAAATAGGTTTCACTATATTTAAGTATCTGGCCTTGCTCCCCCCCCCCTTGCGCCTCCTCCCTAGTCTTATCTCAGGTTCTTGCCTTTCTCATGTCTAAATTACTCAACGAGCCACATCCAGAATCTGTATATGAACAAGATAGACACTAGACAAGGCTCTCACCAGGAAATATTAAGGGTGTGGTGCCAACATCATCGGCATCATCGTTCAATCGTGATAAATCATATTATTCTATATTTTATCCTTTTAAATGTCATTATTATATTGTATTCAGTCAAGTTAAGATCATGATTTGCCAATAGGTTGTGGTAGGAGCTAAATAGTCTGTGGTGCTGCACCACAGTCTAAAAGCCTGGTAAGAGCCCTGCAACGTAAAATAAAATGAAAGGTTTTCTGGCTTGTATCTGAGATTATCTACTATAAAACAATGAATACTAGCATAGGTTATAAATCAGCTATCTTAATCCTATAGCATGTATTGATTTCAATTAACATTTTCAGCAATTTATGATACTCAAAATAACATCATTGTACTTGTAGTATAGGAATTGCATGCTATAATATCATTATATGTGTATGACTAATAGCAATATTTAGATTAGTACTTTTGGTATATATGATGAGCCTGTGTTATTGACCTGTCTGTTCGTCTGTCTTTCAGCGATCTTTGTCAAATGAAAACTGCTTTTCCTCCGATTTGTAATGTTCATATCTATTTTCTGGGGGCTCATGCTAGTAATTTATACCATTGACCCCAACTCTTACTTTTGACTTCTTTTGGTGAACATTGTTATAGAAATAGAAAAACTCAAGGAATTACAATGTTATATTTTCTGGAATCCATTGATTGGTTTGTTTGAGTGGTAGCGAATGTAGAGTTGAGATTTTATCAAAATGCCAAATAAGGATATCATGCAATCTTTATTATCTTGTGAAGTACTAATTGAGTTTAAATCCATATTTTCCTGGTTTATGTCACTCTCGTGTAAATTAAAATGTTTTAACATGTTCCTAGGGTTAAAACCTGTTCCCTAGTCAGATTGGCTGATGAAATAACCTTTTTTGGGGTTTGTCGAGTTGGCTTAGCAATCTAGAGCACGGAACCCGCTAGGTGCTCCTTGTGCCTTGGAAGTGAGGGGTCGTGGGTTCGATCCCCACTGGTTGGATGTACTCCCCCAAAATGCAATCTGATTTTCGACGCCGTTTGGTACCAAGTTTCGGTGCCACCTCGGCACCAAATAGACTGACTAGTCCGGTTCGGAACACCGCCAAAGTCTTTTGATGCCGAAACGGCGCCGAATTGGCTGTGTACAGTGTGTCTCAAAAAAATGTTACACTTACAAAAAGTTCAATATCTTTCATCATTTTGACTTTTCCCCTAAAATTTACTTTTTACCAAAAGACAAATTT